TATCAATATCGATCAAGCAAAGGTGCGAGTGCAACACGTTACATATAATAATATTGTGTACACCCCCATGCAACCACTTTAAGCTTTCGATCCCTAGTGTCCATTTAATCGCCTGCAGAAAATCAGCCCATTCAATTTCTAGTCAGCCAAAATGACACAAGTTTTATTTTATATAGGTTTTTGTATTGGGCCGATGGTGGCCGTAAATTGTATCCAGCTTGACAAATCTCTATTTTGTAAGTGAGCCTCCCTATAAAGTGCAAAAACGCGAGCGTTTGCTCATCTTTGCTATTTTGAAGCATGTTTTGCAACTTGTGTGAGAACCGCACCGTCAAAAATTAAAAATTGACTGAGTTATGGGCACTCGACGAGGTGGCAGTTAAATTGTGTTCAGGGGTGTAGACTGGTAAAATACACAAAATATCAGGAGAGCGAACAATATACCGCTCTAGTGCTCTCTAAACCTACGATGGTGTTCGTGAACGAGGAGCGGCACTGATGCGGAGGTATACAACGCTGCTGTAGCATCGAGTCGAAGCGTAGTGCATTTTATATAATAGACTCCCAAACTCATTAAATAAATGAATGGAATTAATGCAGCTAGCAAAAAGGTAAACAAATTAATGACCTGCTTTGGAGTAGTGGCTAGTATTTGTGTGATCGTTAGGACAGCTAAATGACAATAATGAAACTTGACTTTGAAGAAGAGTAGTGACTAGTAGGATTTAGTGATGGCTGTGGGGAAGCTTCGCCAATGGAGAACGTAATAAACACTGCCATATCGGACGTGCAAAAAGTGTAGCTGCGCTGATAGGTAAATTTTAATACGATCGTGGCAGCTCAATTACGCAGGCAACAAAGTCCAACCTGGCAAGTCGATGTTGAAAGCGCAAAATGCATTTGGGTACACCACATTATCTCTATTTTTAATTATGGTTACCTCGAGCTCCCTAAGCTCGAGTTCCATAGTTTCCCCCGTATACTATGTCCGCAGGGGGTACTGCGCTCCGAAAAGGTATACAAAACCTTTTAAGGTTTCAAAAGTACCCCTTAAAAATGAAGGAGCGTGATATACAGTATATTAATAGCTTTTAATTGCATTTCAAGCATCCGACTTGTTTATGTGCCCTGATTTAGGTATCCTGTTTTTTTTGTTAATAAAAGTAGCTATAAAACAAAGTGTGCTTTCATTTTTGATGTAGAACGAGGATTTTGCAGCGTTTCTTAATGTAAGAGTTCGATACCTACGTTTTTTTGTGCGCCACACTATGGTGGGGTTGAATTAATCTTTATTGGGCCGTACCGTAAAACACGGATCCAATGCTACACACGGATCGAGTGCAACAAAGATTAAAAATGCAGATCACACGATGTGCAAAAACAAAAAGGCGAATCTTTAAAGGTTTCACCCTTCCTACTCAGTGTGTTCATTTTACTCTTCTTGATCTACTTCTAGAATCGGTGCTTCTTCTTCTGCATAAGTTGGTACTCTGAAGCGGTCTTCTATATCGCGAGGCCAGTAGGTAGTATCCCGCTCTTGGCAAAGCCCTTTCGAATCGTCGCCGGCGAGATTGAAGCCCACCCTTCTGCTACACAGCTCAAAATAAGCTGACGCTTCTCTTGTGGGGTCTTTAAGAACTCATGACCAATGTGGTAAGCCAAGTAGGTATTTCTGCATTTTAATAACAATTAGAAAATATTTATAATAAAGCAAAACGAAAACTTACCGCACATAATCCTTGAATGGCTTCATCACAGCAACGTCCATCGGCTGTGCCAGCCCTGTTATCCCCGGCGGAACAAACTCAACCTGCGTGCAGCAGTCTTCTTCGAGCACGGTACGAACAGAATTCATCTTGTGGACTTTCAAGCTGTCCAACAGGAGTAACCTACAGCCATCTACTGAGAGTTTCCAGATCTACACCTTTGCCAGTCCAAATCGGCGACTGTGACGGGGTCACACAGCACCTTGCGCTAGAGGAAGTTATCTTCCGAGAGTATACAAACTCTCAGTGAACGGCAGTTCACAGGTCCCCTCTTTAATTAAAGAGAGCGAAGTGACCTAAATAAGGTAGATTGTAAACTGAGTATATTTATAGGTAGGTTAAGTTTGAGGTTAATACAAACTATCAGTTACCTATAGTAATGCAATGTCATTTAACCAATGGTTGGTTTTGAATGACCTTGGTACCTTGTACCAAATATCCCGGAGTATGACATGTCATACTCCTGAAGTGTGAAGTGTCACACTTCATGTAACCAGGGTACACTTAGTGCTACGTACCCCGTTACATCCTCCCCCACTTAGGTTCGGTTTACCGACCAATCAGAATGAAGAGATGTTCGTCACAAACTCTCATTCTCAAAGTCGAAAACCATCGACTCGGCCGCGCGAGCGCGGCGGAGGCTCACTTTACAGTTAGAGCCTCGAGCAGCAACCTGTGCGCTCTTCGTCAAGGTCTCCACTTCGACCGTTAACATGCCTCGTGGCACTGCTAAGAGCGGTGCTAAGACACGCTCCAAGGCTGCAGCCGGTAAGGCGCAGGCCAAGAGCACTAAGCCTCACGGCAAAGGCTCTGCACTCAAGGAGGCTACTCAGGTGGCCTCCGAGGCGATCGGATCCTCGGGTGACGCGGCTGCGGACAAGCGCTCAAGCAGGCGCCGCAGTCCGTCGCCCTCGTCTTCAGACAATCGTCCGAACCCTCGGTTCGTAGAACATGAGTTCAACTCGGGCAGTGAGGACGATGCCGAGTTCGAGAGCACTCATGATGCTCCTGCGGGCTCTGTGGGAGGGCACAGCCCAGTGCCCAGTGAGCACAAAGAAGACAGCGTGCAGTCGTCCGCTAGTGATCACGGTGATCACAGTCCCAGGACCTCTGTGCGCTCTGAGAGTCCGGCCGTTAAGGCTAAGGGCACTCCCAAAGCCGGTGGCGATGAGGAAGGGAGTCCTCGCAAACGT